GGCGGAGGCTGCAGTGAGCCACTGTATTCCATCTTGGGCTATAGAGTAAGATTCTGTCTCAAAAAATAATAATAAGTAAATAAATTTAAAAATAAAAATATTCAAATAATACCTTCATTACAAGCTTTACATACTAGATAAAAATTTAAACGGTTTTGTATTCTTCAAGTTCTTCCTAAGTACCTTGAGGTTTATTATATGAAATCTGTGTTTTAGCTGCTGTACAGTTTTCTAGGAGAGACTTAATGAGTGATCCACAAATTCTAGTCTGATGTGACTTGTATTCGTGCGAGTGTTACTTTAATGAAAAGGTGGTTAAAGATGTTTAATCTTATAAACCAATGTTACCTTAAAATTTATTTATTTATTTTTATTTTCTGAGATGGAGTTTTGCTCTTGTTGCTGGAGTGGAATGGCGCGATCCTGGCTCACTGCAACCTCTGTCCCCCAGGTTCAAGTGATTCTCCTGCCTCTGCCTCCCAAGTAGCTGGGATTACAGGCATGCGCCGCCACACCTGGCTAATTTTCTATTTGTAGTAGATACAGGGTTTCACTATGTTGGACAAGCTGGTCTGAAACTTTTGACCTCAGATGATCTACCCACCTTACCCTCCCAAAGAGCTGGGATTACAGGTGTGAGCCACTGCACTGGCCCAATGTTTGTAAAAATTCAAATTCAGGCCAAGTGCCATGGCTTACGCCTATACTCCGAGCATTTTGGGAGGCCAAGGCAGGCAGATCACCTGAAGTCAGGAGTTCAAGACCAGCCTGGCCAACATGGTGAAACCCCATCTTTACTAAAAGTACAAAAATTAGCCAGGCATGGTGGCACATGCCTATAATCCCAGCTATTTGGCAAGCTGAGGCATGAGAACCTCTTGAACCCGGGAGGCAGAGGTTGTGGTGAGCCAAAGTCACACCACTGCACTCCAACCTGGCCAACAGAGTGAGACTCTGTCTCAAAAAAAAAAAAAAAAAGACATACAGAAACCATGAGATAATGACTAACCAGAAAACGTTTATGTTACCTATTGAGTTTTATGAGACGTGGTATATGGGAATGGACAAAATCATGAAGGGGGATTAATAAGATAGATTCTTAGGGAAGGCTGTTTTTTCAAGTTCTTGGCATTATTATTTTTAATAGCTCCACTGTGTTAAAAGTTTCAATCCTGGCTTATTTATGCTACTTCTGAATGAAGTACTGATGTTAGTGTTTTTTCTTCTTTCACAATCTTTAAAATCTAGAATTTCCTGGTTGTTCTCATCAATCTTCTATGTGTAAAACCTTTGCTTCTTCACCAGTATTCTGTTCTTCCTTCATCTTTCACTTATCACTTCACATACCATGTTCATTCATTCCTGACTATTCCCCATTCCTCAAACATATTAACTGTTACTTTTTCCAAACCTTTTATTTTTGCTGGAATGAGCTTTTCCTTTAAGTCCAAGCTCAAATGTTACTACTTCCATAAATATCAGTCAGGACTAATTTCTTCCTCTTATTTTCATAAGACTCTTTATACTGCTATCCTCATACAGTATGGTGGCTAAAAATGCCTAATTTCAAAGATAGGGACCATGTCACATCTATCTTTTACTAACCCAGATGATGTCCTTTTTACTACCCTTTGTAACAGATGACCAGATGCTGAGATCAACTGTTTTGTATTTCATGTTGTCAGATTTTCAAAATGTGTGTGGCATTTGTAAAAGACTGTGTGTGTGTGTGTGTGTGTGTGTGTGTGGCAATTAGTAAGCATGGATATTAATGGAGATTATACTCCATTAAAGAATAAGGTGGCCAAGCATGGTTGCTCACGCCTATAATCCCAGCACTTTGGGAGGCTGAGGCGGGCAGATCACCTGAAGTCAGGAGCTTAAGACCAGCCTGGCCAACATGGTGAAACCCTGTCTCTACTAAAACTACAAAAATTAGCTGGGTATGGTGGTGCACGCCTGCATTCCCAGCTACTGGGGAGGCCTGAGGCAAGAGAATCACTTGAACCCAGTAGGTGGTGGTTGCAGTGAGTCAAGATTGTACCACTCTACTCCAGCCTGGGTGATAAGAGTGAGACTACATCTGAAATCAAAAGAAAACACAAGATATCATTGGAAATTTACTGATGCAGTTTTCATGATGTAGCCAGGCATGGTGGTACGCACCTGTAGTCCTAGCTACTCAGGAGGCTGAGGCAGGGAGGATCCCTTGAGCCCAGGAGCTCGAGGGTACAGTGGGCTATGAACATGCCACTGCACTCCAGCCTGGACAACAGAGTGAGACCCCATCTCTAAAACAAAACAAAAAAACAAATTCCATGTTGTAGTGCCCAACTGACCCCACATTAATTCACCATGACATTGTTTCTATAGGTATTTATTGAAAGCCTTCTGTCTCAGACCTTTTTATCATAATAGAGAATTTTAGGCAGGAGACCTCCAAGACGAATCTCAAAAAATTCTTAAATTTAGGTAAGTAGAAAAAAATAAGGCCAAGGCAGGTGGATCGCCCGAGGTCAGGAGTTAGAGACAAGCCTGGCCAATGTGGTAAAACCCCATCCCCAGTAAAAAGATAAAAATTACCCAGGTGTGGCAGCACACATCTGTAATCCCAGCTACTCAGGAGACTGAGACAGGAGAATCACTTGAACCCAGGAGGCAGAGGCTGCAGTGAGCCCAGGTCGTACCGCTGCAGTCCAGCCTGGGCAACAGAGCAAGACTCTGTCTCAAAAAAAAAAAAAAAATCAGAACCACATTTGCACATAAATTGGCTTTGTTTTTTAAAGTTTTCTTTCAAGGCAACTTATAACCTTGAATATTTCTTGAATAGACTACAGAAGTAATATGCATAACATTTTTAGTTTCTTAGGGGGATATGACTGCTTTAAGTCAAATTATTTTAAGTCATATTACAGTGAATTCTGCCCGATGTATAGTTTGTTTTCATTTTAGTAGACTGTAATTCTGCCAAGTCTGTTATAAGAAGTTATTATCCCAGTCTATACAGAACCCAAATTCTGATGCTGCAATAGATGTATGCATGTGTTGAGGTGGCATTTCCAACACAAAAAAGGCGTCATGTTCACATTTCTTTTCCATTCCTGTCTTTTATTTTCCTGAGGGTGGAAATTTGTTGTTGTATGTTTTAATGGTGTTTGGAATTTGGGGTATAAATTTGAAATACTTGTCATTTGATGAACTGAAAATAGTGTAAAATGTTCATTTTTAGATTAAAAAGGAAGAAGTTTATTCTGTTCTCTGCCTTTACCTGCCTAAGTTTAAGTAGTATAGGAAATTCACAAGGAATAAAGGTTTAGCAAACAGCATATTATCAATTAGTTTATTACAGATAAGGACTAGAATACACTTTTTTTTTCCTTTGGTACAAAGTTACATTGGTGAGAAGGAAGTCATTGGAAACATGACCATAAAGTACTGTTGCCATAGAAGTAACATCATTTTTACAAAAACCCTTCACTGTTAAGGGATTCACTATAACAATTTTTACTTTGGTTTTGGCTTTTTTCTGTTTTTGGTTGATTTGGTTGTGTTTGTTTTTTGGGACAGGGTCTCACGCTATTGCTTAGGCTGGAGTGCAGTGGCACTATCTTGTATTTTTTTGTGGCGACAAGATTTGGCCATGTTGCCCAGGCTTGTCTCAAACTCCTGAGCTTACCCACCTCCATCCACCCAATCCATCCACCTCCCAAAGTGCTGGGATTATAGGCATGAGCCACCACACCTGGCCAGGATTTTCACTTTGTTATTTTTAATGTGTCGCTTTATTACTAGATGCACTTTGTAGTTACATTTTTGGAGAAGATGGATGCTCAATTTTATTCAGTTATTTGGTCCTTAAGCAGAATTACTAAGGCTGCCAGACAGCTTTGGTGATGCTGTTGTTTATAATCAGTACTTGAAATTGCCTTTTCCATTGCTTTAGGAATTAGTGAGGATGTAAATGAAAACTGATAACAAAATACATTTATGGTGTTATCAGGGAAACAATTTCATTGCCCTTTAGCTGTTAAAGTCTTTATATGTGGTGCTCTAATTCAGTTCATCTTTGTAAAAACTTTTCAGTACTCTGAAGCTAGATGATTATTTTTACCTAGTTCCTTAAAACACACACACAAAAAAAACTTTGGGTAGCATCTAGTAATTTACAGGAGTCTTTAGCTAATTAATATACCTGAAAGAATCCTCTTAGGATCAGGAGACAAAATACAATTCATATTCGCTACTTAGAGCTTATCATTGCAGATTCTTATTTAAGTGAATAAGTTTACTTGATAAATGTATGCTGTTAACGTACCACTTAAATTACCACCAGTCAGTTTAGGTATTTGCCTTGTGACCAAGATTACTTGATTTGTTTAATGATCTGTCAAGTGACCTTAATCATACAATGAATAAATAATCTAAAAAATTACTGTATAACTCCATTCGCCTGTGTCTTCAACATATTCAAAACTGGTTATCTCCCCCACTCTTTTTTTTTAATCCCCAGCAGGGACCGTTTTATGGGAATGGAACCTCTGCAGATGCACAGAGCCCCATGCTTGTGTTAATGTTCTGCTGTTACCAATTTGAAATTCTTAACAGTTTTTTTTTTTTTTTGACAAGGGGCCCTGCATAATTTATCATTTACTCTGGGCCCATGTTAAATAGCAACTCCTCGTCCTGAGAAACTAGTCGTCATAAAAGATTGTAATATTTCCTGAATAGTAATTGTTCTGTGTTATCTGAGTATATAACCCTATAAATTTTCACAGCTGTAGAAGAAATCTTTGTAGGCAGATTTTATTTCAATATATTTTAGTGAGGGAATGTAGGTAACGTAGGCTATAAGTGTTATTTCATAATAGATGGTTTTAGGGATTTGCCATTTAATCAAAATTTTGTTATTTTAGAACATAAAAGTACTTGCTTAAATTTTGTTTAAATCTTATTAGATGAAATGAATTTAGAGCAGGAATTAATTCATTGTGCCATTACAGGTTATCAAGTTATACCCAACCAGCAGCAAAACTACCAAGGAATAGTTGGAGTTCAGCAACCCCAGAGTCAAAGCCTAGTCAGTGGCCAACCCAACAGCATTGGAAATCAAATTCAAGGAGTGGTCATCCCCTATACTTCAGTGCCAACGTATCAGGTATATTGTCTCTTTTAAGTACTTCGGTTAGAGATGATTTTGAATAAATTAGCTGTACAACTATATCTTCTGTGTTATCCTTTTAATACAAGAGAAACACTTCTGTATTATACTTCATAGTCTTAAGAGTTTTATTAGTCATAGCAGCTTTGTTTTATCCTCATTTTATTGCATTATTCATTTACTTTATTAATGTTTAGGTTATCTGAAACACATTGATATTGGCAAATAAATACTGCCTGGCATTGTCTTACGTTTCCAGCAATATAGGTAGGTGAGCAAATGTCTCGTTCTATTCCTCATCTCCTTAGAAAGTCTTCATTGCTGGGAGAGAGAAATAGGATGGAAAACAGAGGTTGGGGAGTAGGTATTTGAAATAGTGAGATACAGTATAGACCATAAATCTGTAGTTACAGAATAGGGAAGTATGTGCAGTTTCCTGTGCTCTGACTGATTTTTTCCTTCCTCTCTTCCATTCCAAAAAGCAAAAATATGTCTCTTATTTTAAAATGTTACAGATTTTAGGCCAGGCACAGTAGCTCAGACCTGTAATCCCAGCATTTTGAGATACCTCGGCGGGCAGATTACTCGAGGTCAAGAGTTCGAGATCAGCCTGGCCAACATGGTGAAACCCTGTTTCTACTAAAAAAAAAATAAAAAATACAAAAAATGTCTGGGCAAGGTGGTGGGCACCTGTAATCCCAGCTACTCAAGAGGTTGAGGCAGGAGAATCACTTGAACCCAAGAAGCGGAGGTTGCAGAGAGCCAAGATCACACCACTGCACTCCAGCCTGGGCAACAGAGAGACTCTGTTTTACATTAAATTTTACATTAAAATGTTACAGATTTTAATGTATAGTTCTAAAGCAGAAATACCTGTTATTTCATGAATAAGCAGCTATCTTCAATACGATTCATTTTCAAAAATTTGTTTTACCTTTCTTTATGGAATTACCTGCAAGAGAGTTTATTTTATTAGCCTAATCATTTTTCATAGCTGAGTCTGATTTTAAGAACTCCAGGCCAGGGCCGGGTACAGTGGCTCATGCCTGTAATCCCAGCACTTTGGAAGGCCAAGGCGGATGGATCACTTGTGGTCAGGAGTCTGAGACCAGCCTAGCCAACATGGTAAAACCCGTCTCTACTAAAAATACAAAAATTAGCCAGGTGTGGTGGTAGGTACCTATAATGCCAGCTACTCAGGAAGCTGAGACAGAAGAATTACTTTAACCCGGGAGGTGGAGGTTGCAGTGGGCTGAGATTGCGCCACTGCATTCCAGCCTAGATGACAGAGAGAGACTCAGTCACAAAAAAAAGAGAGAGAGAGAACTCCAAAGACTGCTTTCATTCATCTCAACAAGGAGAGAGTAAACTACTTGGGAAGTTAAAATGTACATGCATTTTATCTAAACATGTGTAAACATGTGGCTAACAGGAAAGTCTGTTGGCAGCGTTAGCTTATTTCTGACTGCTCATGCTTTAAAAATTTATGGAGACTGTTGGGTTCCGTGGCTCACTCCTGTAATCCCAGCACTTTGGGAAGCCAGTGTGGGCGAATCACTTGAGGTCAGGAGTTCAAGACCAGCCTGACCAACATGGTGAAACCCATCTCTACTAAAAATACAAAAATTTGCCAAGTGTGGTGGCGCATGCATGTAGTCCCAGGTACTCAGGAGGCTAAGGCAGGAGAATTGGTTCAATCTGGGAGGCGGAGGTTGCAGTGAGCCAAAATTGTACCACTACACTCGAGCCTGGAAAACAGAGTGAGACTTCATCTCAAAAAAAGTTTATGGAGGCTAAAAACATGAACATTTGCAAGTCTTTGAAAAAAAACCTTTTTCTCTTGAAATTGTCTTTCTTATTTTAGGTTTCACTGCCTCAAGGTTCTCAAGGAATTGCCCATCAGACTTATCAACAACCTGTTATGTTCCCTAATCAGTCTAATCAAGGATCTATGCCTACAGCAGGAATGCCTGTTTACTATAGTGTAATTCCACCTGGTCAACAAAATAATTTAAGGTGAGTATGACTAAGTAACCTAATCTTCCAGCTTCCCATTGTTTACCAGGATTATCATCCGTTGCTAGTTTTAAAGTTGACTAAGGGGCATTACTTGAGAACATTCTCTAATGTAGAATAGAAACTATAATGCAGTCTATTTTTAAAATACTTCTTTCGGCTGGGTGCGATGGCTCACACCTGTAATTCCAGCACTTTGGGAGGCTGAGGTGGGTGGATCACCTGAGGTCAGGAGTTCAAGACTGGCCTGGCCAACATGGAGAAACCCTATCTCTACTAATAATACAAAAATTAGCAGGGCAAGGTGGCACAAACCTGTAATCCCAACTGCTCGGGAGGCTGAGGCAGAAGAATCATTTGAGCCCAGGAGGCGGAGCTTGTAGTGAGCCAAGAATGTGCCATTGCACTCCATTTTGCGTGACAAGAGTGAACCTCTGTCTCCATTCATTGATTTATTCATTCATTCATTCATTCATTTCAGTAAAATCGAAACAAGCAAAGCAGTCCATATAAAAACTAAAGGCAAGTCAAATCTCTCTTGTGCCTAAAAATTAGGCCAGTCGTCTTTTACTCACACAAATGGAGTAACAGTTGGCTATAGGCTTTGGAGATTGGAGTGTAATATTTAAGATTTTCATAGGGGTCTGGAAGGATTGTATTTCCTGTGTATAACTTTAGCAGCAAAATATCTTTCTGGAATATTTCCGGCTTAGGGAAGCTCATTTTTCATCAGTAAGGCGAGCACGTGTAGTCCCAGCTACTCGGGAGGCTGAGGCAGAAGAATCACTTGAACCTGGGAGGCAGAAGTTGCAGTGAGCCAAGATCACACCACTGCACTCCAGCCTGGGCGACAGAGTGAGACTCCGTCTCAAAAAGAAAAAAGAAAGTAGGTTGGTCTAAATTGTGAGAAAATATGATTGACAGGTGGGAAAGGTGATTGGCAGATTGGAAAGATGAGGTAGTTGGGGTTTCACCACAAGCATAATCAAGCTACATGGTTCTTCATAGGACATGTGTGCAGAAAATGGCGTTAACATGATCTGAGGGTGGAGCTTTAGGCCCTCTTATGCCAAAAGGTCACTCTCTGGGTACCCGCTCAGGCCTAGTTGAAGGGTTTGCCATCACAGCTTGAACTAGACATGAGCTGCCCCCTAGATCCTGAAAAACAGCTTTAAACACCTGTTATGTAGTTACCCACAGTCAGAAATGCTATCTATAAAGAAAATAGAGTTTAGTTATATATTGCCTGGCCACATGACTTCCTAGTGGGAGTTTTAAGATTAGCTAAAAGTAAGCAATTAAAAGCAAGCAAAGCCGGTTAAGTTTGGCAGACTGATTAGGTTAGCCCGCTGTTTCACCTGGGTGGTTGCCAGAGGGGCAGCTGTCCTCCTTTTAAGGCTCTTGAAAATAGTTTTGCAGTTCCTTGAAGTTAAATATATAGTTACTATATAACTTAGCAGTTCCACTCCTAGGAATATACTCCTCCAAAATTAAAAACCGTGTTCTCATAAAAGTGTGTACACAAATCTTCATATGAATATCAATATTCATAATAGCCAAAAAGTAAAAACAACCCAAATGCCTGTCAAGTGATGAATGGATAAATAAAATGTGGCATATTTATGCAATGGAATATTATTTAGTCATAAAAAGGAATAAAGTTTTATAGATGAACCTTGAAAGCATTTTGCTAAGTGAAAGAAGCCACAAAAGGAAGGCCATATAATGTATCAACGTATCATTCCATTCATATGAAATGTACAGAATAGGCAAGTCCACAAAGACAGAAAGTAGGGTAGTTTTTACCAGGAGGTGGGGGATATTGGATATCCCAAGTAGGGTAGCTTTTACCAGGAGGTGAGGGATATTGGATATCCCTTAGGGATATTGGAAGGTATCGAATTTCTTTTTAGGATGGAGGAAATGTTCTGGAATTAAATAGTGATGTTAGTTTTACTGTATTGTAAATATACTAAGTCCCACTGAATTGTACACTTTAAAATGGTTAAAATTGTGCATTTTATGTAATGTAAATTTTATCTCAATGAGAAAATTAAAAATAAAGTATGAGGGCATTTTCTTTTTAGAAAAAAAAAAAGAATGGGGACCTAAGTTACCGTCACTGATAAGAGGTTGTTAGGCCGGAGGCAGTAGCTCACGCCTGTAATCCCAAAACTTTGGGAGGCTGAGGCAGGTGGATCACCTGAGGTCAGGAGTTCGAGACCAGCCTAGCCAACATGGTGAAACCCTGTCTCTACTAATATACAAAAAATTAGCCCGGCATGGTGGCGGATGCCTGTAGTCCCAGCTACTTGGGAGACTGAGGCAGGAGACTCAACTTGAACTTGGGAGGTGGAGGTTGCAGTCAGCCGAGATCATCCCATTGCACCCCAGCCTAGAAAATAAGAGTGAAACTCTGTCTCAACATACGTACACCCATACATAAATAAATAAGATGTTGTCATTCAGTTATGGTTTCAGATGTCATTTGGTGGTATAGAAGGGATTGACATACCTTGTTGCGCTGGAAAACGGGGGCTTAGTTCTGAGTTTGCCAGAACTCGCCCTGCCCCAAGAGGATCTCACATATTTTCTCTCTCCTTCCATCTTTATGGCTGCCAGTGTTTCAGTACATGATTAAGGAGGTCCAGGCTTTTTTTATTTTTTGAGACAGAGTCTAACTCTGTTGCCCAGGCTGGAGTGCAGTGGTGCAAGCTCACCTCACTGTACCCTCTGCCTCCTGGATTCAGGCAATTCTCCTGGCACAGCCTCCCAATTATCTTTGATTACAGGTGTGTGCTACCATGCCCAGGTAATTTTTTTGTTTGTTCATTTTTTTAGTAGAGATGGGGTTTTACCATGTTGGCTAGCCTGGTCTCGAAATCCTGACCTCAAGTGATCCACCTACCCAGACCTCCCAAAGTGCTGGGATTTCAGGTGTGAACCACTGTGCCCAGCCTGGCCTAGGCTTTTTAAATGGCAGATTGGTTGTGAATCTCTCAGGCAACCTTGCAATTTAATATCATACTGAGTCGTAGGTCCTTTGAGGCAAAACCACTGCACAATGAAAATAGAAATATATACTTGGTTAAATTTCCCATTTGTTGTATAAATTTCATAAATAAGAAAAAAAAAAAAACCTCCGAATCTGAGTTTTTTACCCTGATAAATCTAAGTTTGGGATCTGGAATGCCAATTCAGTTTCTGAATCGTCAGAGGCAGAATTCTGTGCAAAAGTAGAGTGAAATGAAAGGTGAGAAAATTGTTGAATTATCTACTTTTTGAACCAGAGTTTAATTTTTTATTTATCAGAGAATATTACCAAAGTCATCATTTCTGTGTAGGGCAGAGGCTGAGAGATGGGTACTAAGTTATCTCTGAAGGCCTGCATACTGGGAAGAGGGACTTTCATGAGGGAAGGATATCAAGCATATAAGAACCTATATAAAGATGGCTTAGGCTTCCAGACTTTTTCATTGTTTGTTATATTTGTCAATTCCTTGAAACAAAAAAGATTTTGTGTGCTTGACTTCTAAGAGAGTTTGCCATAAGAATGTGGCTACAGATGAGAGAGCGTAATTATGTGCCTGCCTCTGTAGTGAGCGTTATTTTAAATATAACGGCAGAATCCAAAAGCTGTCAGGTGGGTGCTGATGACTACACTTTGGAAAGATCCTTGGTTTTAGTCCCTGGCCCTGCTTCATGAAGAAAATTTTAAAAGTTGAAGAGCCTTGGCCTTGGCCTGAGGGATAGCCTGGAGCACAGAAAATTAAAAGGTAGATGAGATTCTCCAACAACCTCCAATGTGAATCTTAATTAAAAGTCTTTGGTTCCGGGCATGGTGACTCCCGCTTGTAATCTCAGCACTTTGGGAGGCTTAGACAGTGGATCACTTGAGGTCAGAAGATCAAGACCAACCTGGCCAACGTGGTAAAACTCAGCTCTACTAAAAATACAAAAGTTAGCCAGGTATGGTGGCGAGCACCTGTAATCCCAGCTACTCGGTAGGCTGAGACAGAATTACTTGAACCTGGGAGGCAGAGGTTGCAGTGAGCCAAGAACCACAGCACTTCAGCCTGGGCAGCAGAGCAAGACTCTGCCTCAAAATTTTTTAATTTAATTTAAAAGTCTTTGGCCAGGCACAGTGGCTCATGACTGTAATCCCAGCATTTTGGGAGGCCAAGGCGGGCAGATCACCTGAGGTCAGGAGTTTGAGACTAGCCTGATCAACATGGAGAAACCCGTCTCTACTGAAAAAACAAAATTAGCTGGATGTGGTGGTACATGCCTGTAATCCTAGCTACTTGGGAGGCTGAGGCAGGAGAATCTAGTCGCTTGAACCGAGGAGGCGGAGGTTGCGGTGAGCCAAGATCACCCCATTGCACTCCAGCCTGGGCAACAAGAGCAAAACTCTGTCGCCGCCAAAAAAAAAAAAAAAAAAAGTCTTTGGAATTACTCACAGCTTGGGGCTGTGACCCAAATGAGGCAGATAAACTTGAAATAAGGTGGGTGTAAGCTGACAGTAGTGATTGGTCACCATGTGACAAACTAGCACTGATCTGTTCCAAGTATAGAGTACTAATATGAGAAATTGAATAGGTTATACATGAAGCTGGGAATGTATATTCTGTCAGATTCCTATCTTGGCACATTTTGGACTGGTTACTTGGTAGGAAGTCAAGTCACATACATATTTAATTAAAGATCTCTGGCTGGCCACAGTTTCTCACGCCAGTAATCCCAGCAACTTTGGGAGGCCAAGGCAGGTGGATCACTTGAGATCAGGAGTTCAAGACCAGCTTAGCCAACATGGTGGAACCTGTCTGCACTAAAAATACAAAAATTAGTCACGTGCAGTGGTGGGTGCCTGCAATCACAGCTGCTTAGGAGGCTGAGGCAGGAGAATCGCTTGAACCTAGGAGGTGGAGGTTGTAGTGGACCAAGGTGGCACCACTGCACTCCAGCCTGGGCAACAGAGTGAGACCCCATCCCAAAAAAAA